AAAGGTTTGGTGAAGTAGTATTTGTTTTACGAAATTATTATTACTTTTATTCAGCAAGGACACACGAAATTGATCAAAAGCGACAGTAAAGACACTTATACGCAGAATTGTGAGATGTTAATGTTAAAAAAGTCAGAATTGTGAGATTAAAAAGTAGGGTTGGCCGATACCTATGTAACCGGTATGTACTAGAACCGAATCAGAACGCAGATTTCAGTGCCTCATTTCGGTAATAGTATGTTCCTGCACAACCGGAGGCTGCAGTTTCAGGACCGCAGTTCTAGGACTTCTTTCATAATTAAACTGGGCTCATTACTTGGTTGCACCACAATATGTGTTATTAGCCTGTCCTTTTGTCAGTACTTTAGATTAATCTGGTTGATGTTTGAAAGGCATGGTCAGCGGTTTGCCTTCTGGACTGATGAGGCCAGAAACTTGCTCCAAGGAACTGAAAAGGGGGTCTTTTTTTATGATGTTGTATTGTGTTATTGCAAAAATGAGTATATACAGTATATAAATATGCATTCTTGAATCATTCTTGAGTCTTGTCTGTCTACAAACTTTTAAATATCTGGCTGTAATTTAGTGACTGCAAATGCTGATTTCATTTAATTCCACCTTTATTATACCTGATAATGAGCTAGTTAAACTTAAGGGGACTAATCAATATACAGTATATTTCAAGAAACTAAGACTTAAGGTACTCCACTTTTTCAGTTGTTTAAAGACTGAAATACATTTTTCATTAATATTTTAAGTGTAAATTCATTTAAATTAAAAATTGTTAACTTAAAAATTAAATTACACACTTTGTAATTAACATCTGATGCATTTATAAATCAAAAATCACAATTGAAAAAAAAAAATGTTCCTGAGATTCAATATCTTTAACAACATGTACAAACATTACTACAAACTAAACCACCAGGGTCCTAGAAATGCGGTCCTGAAACTGCAGCCTCCGCTATATTATCCAATTCGGTAGGTGGCGCTGTTACAAAAGAATAGGGTCCTAGAACTGCGGTCCTGAAACTGCAGCCTCCGGTTGTGCAGGAACACCCTTCTCCATTTCGGTGCCACTAAAATGCCTGAGCGATCGATTTAAGTATTTGTCCTGGTTCTCCGAAATGGACGTAACAAACATGGGCGTCTATAGGCCATTTTTTGCGGGGCTATAGCGATTAGCTCCATAAACTGTACACAAATTCGTAATCGCCTCAAGAGTCAGTCCCCTTTAAATTTCATAATATGAAAACGGCGGCAGACTTCGTCTCCTCCCAGTCTTTCAGCGCGCTCTTCAATCCGCGGACCGCGGTGGCGCAGCGCGAGCGGACTCGAACACAAACAGAGGACACAAGGGTGTGTGTTTATCGATAGATTGTTATAATATCTGTATCTGTGCAGTTCTTTGTCATAAAGATAAAAGACAGTGACAGACAGCACTCAGTCAATTCACTCATTTTAATCAGAGTGATTGACAGAGATACAGTAGAAACATTATGTGTGGTTTTGTATTAAATATTGTTTTGTATCAAATAATGACCCAGATCGTGAAATACATTTATTATCCTTAGGGAAGCACAACTCGGGAAATGAGAGCATCCGAGGAGCACGTGAATGCTATGTATATTTATTTTAAATATTTTTAATGTTCCAACATGAACATTATCCATCTTTTTTTTTTTTTTTGTGGCTCTTTTTTTAAAATATCGGTTCAGGCACCGTTTAGGCACCGGTACCGTTTTAAAAGTATCGATGTGGCACCGGTATCGTAAAAAACCCAATCAATACCCAACCCTATTAAAAAGTTGTAGTTAGCTTTTTTTATTTTTTTTATTCAGTGGTGGAAACAAAACAAAAAAAGAGAATTGTGAGATGCAAACTCAGAATTCAGAGAAAAAATAGTCACAATTGCAAGATACAAACTCTGAACTGTGAGATGCAAACTCGAAATTGCAAGACAAAATATAAAAGTTCAGATAAACTTCTGGGGGAAAATGGGGGGAGAAGTCCAAATTGTGGGATAAGAAGTAGCAATTGCTTTTTTTCCCCCTTTTTTTATTCCATAGAAAACAGTTCTTTTAAATTTTAACATATTTCACAATATTCCTGTTCCTATATTTTTAATCAAATAAATGCAGCCTTGAAGAACATAAGAGACTTCTTTCAAAAACAATCTAACCAACCTCAAACTTTTATAGTGTATTCTGCAATCCAGTGTATTAATTTTACAATAGTAGTGTTTTTAGTTATAGAATATTTAACAATTTTTTTTATTACACATTTGCTGTTTCCAGTTAAGTCCCTCCCCTATCTGCTATGCAATCAAGTGTCCAACATTTCATACTTTGTTTTTCGGTTAAACAGAGTTGGAGAAGCAACTATAAAACTAGACTGTCAAGCTATAAGCTGCTTGTCAAGCTAATCTATTGACGCTAACTCAATGAAGCTATTTATATCATTCCTAATCATTATTCAGAGCCATATTTTTCTGGCACTAGTATAATGAGAGTTAATTAGGGTGACAACATCAAACTCAAACAAATACATTTTCACTAAAACAAACTAAAATAGAATGCAGGCTAATTTATATAACTATTTAAGTCTGTATAACTATTTAAAATTATATGTCAAAAACATGCTTTGCAGGGAATCCTTTATTGGATCACTTAAAAGAACTGAATGAATCAGTTTTTAATGAGTTTTCAGCACTACATATGCTTTTTTCGTCTTCGGATCACTAAGCAGTTAACTATAGCATTAAACGCCGGAATGTAGTGTTTGCTTGTCAGGAAAAAGTAGATTGTGATTGGAAAAGCCATACCTGTATACTACAAGTAGACATTAAATACTGAACAAATGTATTTAGTTAGTAGCATCACTACTTTTCGCTAGCTGTTACACTCTTCGCCCCAACACTAAATGCTAAATGGTAAATCATTGTCAGGATAACAGAAGTTTATAGCATTAGAGTTTAAAGTCTGCGTGAACCGGAAGTTGCTGCCTACTTTATTTCAGTGTAGTGACGTATTTCCAGCAGAAACGGAATATTGAATAGAAGGCGTTGTTTTATGTTTGCGCTCCTCCTCTCTGTCTCTCACTCATAACAATAACGGTTGGAGGGGTGTGTTTAAGGATATTCTGCCCAAGCCGTCAAACTGACGTCATCAGAAAAGGAATGCCATTTCAGAGCGGAAGTAAATGTTCAGGTTTTGATTAAAGATTACGAAGACAAACAGTTTTTTTCAGCGGATTAACTTGCACGGATTAATTGTTTACATCAAGACTAGCAATGTGCGCTAGTAACGTAAATAAAATCAATTTTGATTTCATGCGGACTTTAAAGAACAGACAGCACAGACACAATATTTTATTTTACACAAATGAAAACAAGGCTGTGAGGGATTGAAGTACAATTCGTTCAGTTGTATGTAGACGAAAGAACTTTGAAAAAATGTCTTAATAAAAAGTTTCCAGTAGACAAACAACTTAGATGTGACATAGCTAGAACATACATGTATAGAACAGAATGAACATCTATCCATCATAATTAAATATGGAGTCTAGCCCATGGCTAAAGTCGGGTAAATGCTGCTCAGAATTAGCATCTTGTCACAAGTTTTATTTAGACATAGTCAGGTGTACATTGCACCTTTACATTTTTTCATGGTATGTTAGACTAGCATACACACATAATAACTGTCAACATGTGGCTGTCAATTTGTTCCTTTCAGGCGAAATCTGGGCCAGCCTGTTTTTGCTGGTTGTGTGCTCATGAAACTGACAGGCCTCATGGGATAGTGGTAAACTGGACAGGTCAGAGGGGATTAGAGTTAAAAGTTAATGTGAAGGTGTGCAAGTTTTGTGAAAATGTAACAGAGCAGAATAATTTTCATTGTCTTGAAAAGACTAAAGGGTACACTGTCTTTATAGGTTAAAGTCTACATGAAATCAAAATTGACCCCATGTACTTTCTTAATACATGTTATTCCGGGTCTTATTGTGAACAGATAGTGCATGTTCAGGTGTGGCGGCCGAATTTCTGCAAAATTATGTGGGCCAAAAGATCCATTTTTTAATTGTCAATAATGTAGCGATGTACTGTGTATGAAGTCCCTTTGTAGTCAAGCAGCTTTCTGCTGGGCAACAAGGTGAATCCATGTAACCAACTTGAACTCACTGCATGGAGAAATCATTCACCCTCAAGCAATATTCCAGATCGCATGCATTCCTATTGAAATGACTGGATTTTGCCCACAAAGTTGTCGAATAATGGTAAATATGACTGCACCTTTATTCCAAAGAAATCTTTGGAATGTTTAATCAAAAAGTAAAAGAAAAAAAATCAATTATTTGCCCTGCCTTTGAAGCTGTTTTCCTTTTCAAGTGATGTCACTAAAACGTCTTATTTTTCATCCCTTCCCCTGCATTTAAATTAAATAAATTTGGTTGTGAATCCAACTTTTATTTGATGGACATTGTTATTTTCTGGGATATATCGAAATGGAAATTTTAGCCAACACAATAACCAAATAATTATCAATATGATTATCATTCTATATTTTGCGAGTGTTTTATTTTATTATTATTTTTTTACTGTAATAAACTATCTTTCTTATCCCATAATGATTTAACAAATATAGACCTGCTATAAATTATTAGAAATGATACATGCCTATGGTCAAAAAAAATTAATGGAAAATATAACCTTTACAAATATAAAAAGGCATAAAGAATGAAAATTCCTTTTTACAACAAATTAAAAAATAAAAAATCTCAGTGGCTCATAAAAAACATTTTATTTATATTTAAAAATAAGAATGCTAGAAATAATAGAAATAATGTGAGGTTGCAGGGTCATTTCGCTATAATTTATTGGCTTGTATCGGCCTGTTGGACTAATACTGATAACATTAAAATTGCTTATATAAAGGACTCCTACTTAAAAAATTTAATAAAATCTTGTATCTTCCTCACTCTCCCCAGTGGATGGCTTCTTTATGTCTGACGCTAAGGCTGTCCTGCACGGGTGTGATGACCACTGGACTTTCCAGGAGCAGGGGCGTATGCCTGTGCTCTTTCAAACTACGGTATGTGTGGATGTACAGGTCCTTTCCCCAGGCGAGTGGACAGCATTTAGCTACGTCTCAGCACCTGCACCCCGCTATGAACTCGCCCTGCAGGGGGATGCAAACAACCTGTACGCCTGGCTATTGGGTGTACGGCACCAGTTCACTGTTCAGCTGACCATTCATCGCTGGTACCACATATGTCTACGGTGGGACGCCCCTCGTAAAAGCTTCAGCCTGACGATAGGTGGAAACTCAGAAGTATACCAGCGGACCGCCATTGCCCGAGCAATCCCTCCTACAGGGCGTCTTCTGCTGGGATGCCAACCAAATGAAGCCTCCCCTGTGGTGAAAATGGCCACCGTGGAGCTCTACCTGTTTCGCATATGGGACGATGTTGGAGAGCACAGGGCCTGTGAGGATGGGACAGTGATTGGCTGGGACTCACGACTTTGGGCCGTCACACGAGCCCAGGCTAGAGTCCAAGATTATACGTTGCAATGTGGTGAGTACAGGGATTCACAAAAGCGAAGCCTGTTTAACCGGTAGTTCATAAGAGAGGCGTGCTGAAAATAGCAGTGATAATTTGTGTAATGACTGTGTATAAGTCAGCATCAGATCAACTCGGCAAACCATAAACAGCCTGACGCACTTTCTCTCTCTGAACTAAAAGTATACACAGTACTTTTTTTGTAAAGTCTTCAAAACTATTTAAAGCTTTAATGTTGCTGACTGAATCATCCAAATAGACATATCTTGCTTGTAAAGACCAGCATGTGGATTGGTTGGGACATTTTGTGTGTAGTGTCTTCATATACTTGCATGATGAAGATGATGCATGATGTTTTGATGGTGCATGATTTCATGATTTAACTTCTCAAGAAAACTCACTTTCATGCATGTATTATTTATAGATAAAATAATGATCCTGTTGGAAAATTCAGCTTTAGCTAGTAGCTGTATATTGGAACACGGTAGCTAGTTTCTAAGGTGGTTATTAGCTGGTTGACTAGTCCCCATATTCCAAAAACCAGTTTGACCACCTTAAGCTAGTATGACCAGCTGGTAACCAGTTTGTTGCTGGTCCATGGTGGTCTACTTCCTTGTTCTTGTAGCTATTGACCAGCTTGAATAATCAATAACTAGAATCAGCTAATGAACAAGTTGGACTACCTAATGACTAGCCACCTAATTACCAGCTTGGATCACCTAAAGACTAGCTATGATCAGCTAAAGACTTGGTAGAACCAGCTAATGATGAACAAGCACCATCTTATCTTATTACTAGCTTGAACCAGTTAATGACCCATTTAGACCACATAATGACTAGCTAGGACAGGCTAATGGCCATTTTGAACCAGCTAGAAACCAGTTATCACGTTTCAGCACAGTTACTGGCTTAATATGGATTTTCCAACAAGGGAGTCACTAGCCTTGCCTGTTCCCTGCATCAGAAGGTAACTATCATCTGACCATCTTTTGTGAAAAATTGTTCACCCTCAAGTGAAATTCCAGATTATGTAGATTAACAACAGTAAATGTCACCGCACCTTTATTCCAAAGAAGTCTTTGTAATGTTTAATCTAAAAGTAATAACTTGCCCTACCTCTGAAACAGCTTTCCATTTCAAGTGATGTCACCAAGAACTCTTATTTTTTTGGCCCTTCTACTCAGCTGCATTTAAATTAAACCAATTTTGTTGTAAATCAAAATTGTATCTTATTGACATCGTTATTTTCTTTAATTAACCCATAATGATTTAACAAATATAGGCCTGCTGAATCATTGGAATAAAAAAATTATACATGTCTACAGTACAAAAAATAAATAAAATCAGTGAAAAGATGCATCCATATGTCAGATCAAATCTGGCTTGTCGTTTCTAGACCTGAATGAGTTCACTATATAAGACATGCTTTTTCTCCTCCACAGGAAATTAAGTCAAATCAATTTCAAATATCCTACAGGATATTTGAAACCTTTCAAAACACATCCAGACACCGAGTCTGGATTGAAAACCTTGGATGTCTTGATTGAAATGATCTGATCAGATGTTGATGCAGGGTACAAGAAGGGCAGTAGTACTAACGACACTCTTGTCTTTCTATCATTTGTGCATGCCAATTCTATTTCTGTATTTCATCTTTTAGGTCTAGGACATCTGCGTATGAAACGCAGTGCAGACGAAACTACAACCCCATACAGTAAGTGCAGTGCAAGTAAATTCACTTCACTGAGTAGTATTATAGTGTGGTGGTAGGACACTGTCTTCGAGAAGTTATGTCCCAAACTATAAGCTATTCAGAATTTAAAGTTGCCTATTTTCTAACACAAAAACAATCTTAATAAGAGTGGCAGCATTAAAATTGAGCAGATACTGTAGAGTCAAGTATGTAATAATGCATTTAAATAAATGTTTCCTATAAAAAGGAATCATTTACATTAGAGGGTTTCAAAAGGGATTTAAAAGGGATTCATCCAAAATGTGCAGGAAGGGAGGCTCCAAGTCCAGCAATGGTTTAAAAAACCCTTATTTACATAACTGTCAGAACAAGCTATAAGGAAGAATGCGATTTTCAAAGGCTACATATGAGAAAGAGGACAGTTTATTATAACATGTTTGCTTATTTCCAAGGAACAGAAAAGAAGATATTTTGCAGAACGTCCAAGCTGTTTTCTTATGACCAATTACAACACGGCACATCTGAATGTTCTGAATTGAATGTACACAAATAAGATTTGAGAGCTATGGCAGGATTTTCAGCAAATAAATTTCATGTTTTCCACACCCAAAGTATTATACAGCTTTAGAAGATTTGGAATATAGTACATGAGTCAGAGAAACGACCTTAATATTGATTATTTTTGCCCTTTTATAACTTAACAGCACATACACAAAGAAACAAAAATGAATGAAATATCAAAAAAGTGAAATATCTAATCAACCTCTAAACAGAAATGTAGTAGCCAAACCTCCTCCAGAGCATGACCTGCATTTAGTAACAATTTAAAATTAGAAGGCGTCATTTATTTAATGATTAGGATAGTTTCCAGGAATCAATACTTCTCAGGAAGGTATGACAGTGCTTATCTTTAACGTCAAATGTCATTTCCACTCCTCTGCAAATTTAGCTCTTCCTTTTGTCCTCGATCTCACGGCATTCTGCACTGAAAAAGCATGCCTGTTCCAGGCACGGTGCATGACGCAAACAGATGTTTTGAATAGCGGATGTGTTGGGTAATCTTGTGCTTGGTTGTTGTCTGAAGTTAAATTGGACAGGGTTGCGTGAAAAATGTATGTAGTTGAGTAGAAATCAGCTGTATCTGCATATCAATATCATCTTAATCAAGAAAGATTAGAGTTCTGCGAATTGAAAGGTGTAACCTCTGTAAACTCTGTGTTCTGTTCTTTCACTGTAATTAATTAATTGTATAAATGTGTTTGTGAGAAACCCAAGCTATTTTTGATTTTAAGGTTTAAAGGTTAAAATTTAATATTTTATACACTTACAGCATCCCAAGGTTCTGCCAGCACCCGAGAGTTTGTCTCGACATCTAGTAAGTGTTCCATCTCTGCATATAGACATACAGACAACAACATATAGACAAAGCATTGTACTTTGTGTCTATTTGCATTTAAAATTTTTACATGGAATTTGTTCAGTGCAGTGTTGAATGACACTTTGTCTCCTCCTCCCTCTGCCTTTCTAAGGTCCACTCTACTTGATGTTGACTTCAATAATTACCGGTTCACAGAAAAACACCACACAAGGTCAGTAAACAGATGCAAGATGCTGTGGAATATAAAAAGCTGGAGTAGAGCGCTCCAAATCAACTTCAGTCAGTGAGCCATTTACTTTGTGTAGTACTGGTGTTGAATGGGTCAGGATAGTTGACTAGTTGATTTTTAGCAGCAATGCTTTAAAGGAGATGAATCTAGAAACTTCTCTGAGAAGGTTTTAGCATGGGTTTTATACAGTAACTAGAGAAATGTGCATTAATTGATTCCTGTTAAAGCGCCACTGCAACAGTCATCAAAATTCAGATATGTTACACTCACCACCTTCAACAATCAATTTCAAGATTCCAAATTACTGTGTTTAAATTTTTATGCATAAGTTATAGCCTTATTTAGCATGCAGTGAAACTGCATTTTATTTGGTGCAGCAATCAAAACTAATTCCTTTTCATTTCTTTCACACAGGACAGAACTTTCAATCTTCGAGTCAGGTTGTAAACACACCCTCTGCTTCAACCTCACAAGCCAGAACCACATCAAATCCTGCAGGACCTAATGTGTCAAATGCTAGTGGATTAAACACGTTACCTCCAACTCCAGCCTCACCTATGTCTTACATAACCACTCAAACTACACAGAGCACTTCAATATCTGCCCAGACACTTTCAAGCAATCACATTAGCCATCCAATTGGTACTTTTGAAACAACAGTCAATCATACGACAGCAAGCTCTTCTGCTGCACCAACTGTCGTGGCTCAAGTAACCAATCAGACAGCGGTTCTACGAACAATGACGTCCAATGCATTATTCACAGGTAAGGCTATTATCATTGCATTCTGATTATGTCTTTTTTCTTCTTTTTTTGGAAAAAGACAGATGGCTTCTATTTCGGTGATAATTACAGGATATTAAATTAAATTCCTTACCTTCATTCTCTCATTCTGCCACATATTACATAATTTATACATTATAAAATTAATCCTAATGGTTCAATGCTTTGATGTGTCTTTTCATTTGTTTCAGAGCCATTTGCAGTACAGTGTAACTTTTCCCAGTACTGTTCTAATGAATGTAAGAAAGAAAACATTTTTAGACAAAGCCTATTTTATTCTCAGACGACATCATTTAGATTAAAAGTGGTGATTCCTGGAGATGTGTAATAATATCTCTCTTCTTACGTCACAGCATCATACTACTGGATGCTTGTGGAGGTGAAAGGCTCTAATATGACAGAGGGAGATATTCAGATTTGGGTATGAGCAGTTTTATTTTTAATAATCAAGGTCTCTGGTGTGAATGGTGAGCAGGTATGTTAAATTTGGTGTTATCGCTCTCTCTCATACTGGTCACTGGAAGTTCAACATGGCACCTCATGGCACCCCAAGAGGGTTAAGGCAGTGCTGGAAAATAATGAACATTTTCACTTGGGTGTACTCACTTTTGTGGCCAGCGGTTTAGACATTAATGGCTGTGTGTTGAGTTATTTTGAGGGGACAGCAAATTTACACTGTTATACAAGCTGTACACTCACTACTTTACATTGTAGCAAAGTGTCATTTCTTCAGTGTTCAGTGAAAAGATATAATAAAATATTTACAAAAATGTGAGCGGTGTACTCACTTCTGTGAGATACTACTGTAAGTCTTATGCTACTGCTACTGTCAAAAAAATCGTACTGACCTAAAATTTTTTGAATGGTAGTGTACATGCTTCCACTATATGCAAAAGAGTTACATTTATCTTAAGATCTCCTTTTGCGCTCCAAAGAAGAAAGAAAGTCAAACAGGTTTGGAACGACATGAGGGTGATTAAATGGTTCAAGAATTTTCATTTTTGAGGAACTATTCCTTTAAGTGCTTGGTGTTGCTTACTCTTGGTGAGGGCATTTCAGAGGGATGTGAAAGGTTTCTTGCTCCATCTGACGTGTCTTCCTGAGGTTCATTTTTTTGTCGTGCGTGTGTAGTATTTGAAGGTATGGTCTCATCTCTAGTAGGACACTGACTATGTCCTCTTCGTCCATCTGCCAATGATGTGGCCTTCTGTTGTTTATCTCTCTCTGTCCTAGGTGGCTCCTCATCTGAGAAGGGATCTTCATCCACCCCCGTCTCTACATCACTGCTATGTTCTCTTTGTATGTGTGCAATGTCCTCAGCTCTGACCAGGACACCGTGGCTTTTGTCGCAACTAAAGTACTTCACACCTCTAAAAGTTCCATCGTGGTTTCCGTTAGGGGCATCCCACTCACTACTTTACATTGTAGCAAAGTGTCATTTCTTCAGTGTTCAGTGAAAAGATATAATAAAATATTTACAAAAATGTGAGGGGTGTACTCACTTCTGTGAGATACTGTATGCATGTATGTATATATATACATACATACATACACACACACACACACACACAGTGCTGCTTGAAAGTTTGTGAATTCTTGACAATTTTCTATATTTCTGCATAAATATGACCCACAAGATCATCAGATTTTCACGCAATTCCTGAAAGTAGACCAAGAGAACCCAATCAAACAACTGAGACAAAAATATATACTTTGTCATTTATTTATTCAGAAAAATGATCCAGTGTTACACATCTGTGAGTGGCAAAAGTATATGAATCTTTGCTTTCAGTATCTGGTCTGAGCCCCTTTTGCACCTATAACTGCAGCTAAACATTTCTTGCAACTGCTGATCAGTCCTACACAACGACTTGTATGAATTTTAGCCTATTCCTCAGTATAGAACTTCTTCAACTCTTGTGATGTTATGGGTTTCCTCCTATGAACTGCTTGCTTCTGATCCTTCCACAACATTTCAATTGGATTAAGGTCTGGACTTTGACTCAGCCATTCCAAAACATTAACTTTGTTCTTCTTTGACCATTCTTTGGTAAAATGACTTGCTTGGCGTTGTTGTCTTGCTGCAAGAACCACTTTCTCTTGAGATTCAGTTCATGGACAGATGTCCTGACATTTTCTTTTAGAATTTTCTGGTATAATTCAGAATTCATTGTTATATCAATGATGGCAAGCCATCCTGGCCCAGATGCAGCAGACAGGCCCAAACCATGATACTACCACCACCATGTTTCAGGTTCTTATGCTGGAATGCAGTGTTTTCCTTTCTCCAAACATAACGCTTCTCATTTAAACCCAAAATTTCAATTTTGGTCTCATCCGTCCATTAAACCTTTCTCCAATAGTCCTCTGGTTTGTCCACATGATCTTTAGCAAACTTTCTCCTTGCAACTCTGCCATGGACACCATGGTTGTTCAGTGTTCTCCTGATGGTGAACACATGAACATTAACATTAGCCAATGTGAGAAAGGCCTTTAGTTGCTTAGAAGTTACCTTGGTGTCCTTTGCAACCTCGCAGACTATTACACGTCTTGCTTTTAGAGTCATCTTTGTTGGTCGACCACTCCTGGGGAGGGTAACAGTGGTCTTAAATTTCCTTCGTTTGTACATAATCTGTCTGACTGTGGATTTGTGGAGTCCAAACTCTTTAAAGATGGTTTTGTAACCTTTTCCAGCCTGATGAGCAACAGCAACTCTTTTTCTGAGGTCCTCAGAGATCTCCTTTGTTAATGCCATGATCCACGTCCACAAACATGATCAGACTTTGATAGATCCCTGTTCTTTAAATAAAACGGGGCACGCACTGACACCTGATAGTCATCCCATTGTATATATTAAGTATATATATATAAGTATATATTTTTGTCTTAATTGTTTGATTGGGTTCTCTTTGTCAACTTTCAGGATTTGCATGAAAATCTGATGATCTTTTGGGTCATGTTTATGCAGAAATATAGAAAATTCTAAAGGGTTCACAAACTTTAAAGCAGCACTGTATATAATGGGTGCCGTAATATTAATAATAATATTTAATAATATTTTTGTGTTGTATAATTATTTTAGAAACTAAAGGGTATTTTATAAAATAAAGGGTTTTTCTTTTTTTCTTTTTTTAAAACAAATTCCTGATCCTTCCCCCCTCTATAATCAGTTTTCAGATCTTTTTAATAAAAGCACCTGTTCTGCTGGAGTTTCAACAAAAGGTATCAATACAACATCATGCCAAACTGACGTAGTGTTTGTGGTAAGTATCGCTTTTTTTTCAGAGAACAGGTCAGGGCTGAACTTTGATGTTGTCCAACACTGCATCATTATAAAATTAATTTTTCATTAATATAGACTGCTGAGGTTAGATGTGAAGCCAAGCAGAACATCCAGTAAGTCAAACCTAAATCTCTAAGCTACACAACAAGTATGATTTCATTGTATTTCAACATCAAGTAACACTGCTACTGTAATAATTACAGAAGGACAAACTGCACTGTGCTGCTACAGCTGAGTCAACCTGTGAATATGTGCATCCTCCGAAGGCTGGTGCAAAATGGGACTGTAAACCCATCAATCCAGATCCAGCTTCTGGGAGATGTAGAAAGAGTGGGTGAGTGAGACAAACACATGAATATGGGCTTGATTAAGTAAATCAGATTTAGTATTCAGGGATAGTTCACACATAAATGAAAATTCTGTCATAATTTACTCACCCATTTGCTATTCCAAACGTGAAAGTGAATGCAGACTGGGTCTTTGCTTCAAAATGACAAAAAGCACCTCAAAAACATAATAAAAGTGGTCCATTTGATCATATAACAATCACAGACAGCAGTTAAAAAATATTATTCATGATTAATTGTTCGTTTTTGAAGTCTCACTGAATGGCTTTTGTTTATAGGTAAAGGCTTGTGCCCAGAGCACAATAATTCACCCCCTGGAGATGGTTTAGTGCACTGCACATCTCCAATGACTTATGATGATTTCTGCAAGACCCAGGGGCCTGTCAATGTCACATGGTAGGATATGCTACTGATTAAAGACTTGCCACACTCTTAAGTTAGTCCTGCAGCAAGCAATTTTGACATTTTTAGTGTTTACAATATTTATGTGAGATTGTATTACTCATTTCCCAATGTTCGCTCTTTCTTGCATTAGTTCTTATAAGGAAAATGGCTTCGTTCCTAAAGACTTGGTTGCTAATCAGTCCTGCAACGGTGAGTGTTATTACTCTTTGGACTTACTATTTGGTCCTCATTTTCTGACTAATACCAGTATCATATTCAAAAATGAAATGTTGTTTTTTTTAGTTGAGAACCAACAACATTGTGAGTGTCACGTGTCTACCAACAACGGTGAGAGGAACATTATTGTTCTATGTAAGAGTAGGTACAAGCACGTGTCATGGACCAATCAGACTCCAAGCTCTCTCTTCTACCTCTGTTTTAGAGACATATTATGCTGTTCGTCTAAATATTAGAAGCCCAGATGTGAATTTCCCCTACATTCAGGACATGGTGAGTTTTTAGAGAAACGATTCTTGCAAACAGGAAAAAATGCCTTTAGTAAGTATTTTACCAAAACACTGCTATATAAAGATTGGCAAGTTACAATAGTGTTTTACCTCAATGAATGACAAAATACGGTTATTGTCTTATTAGTTCTATTGTTCCATCCAATAGGTTATACAGTTGAGCACTCCCTGCAACGACTCCGGAATGCAAGGGTATGTCTGCAATTTCTGTCAAAAATAACATAAATACAAAATATTGGGGTCAAACTTTTTTTTTATTATTGTGCATATATATGAAACTTAATTATTATTATTATTATTATACACTTTCTTTATGGTCGGTCATGTTTCATGTTCATAGGTCTCTGTGTAATTCTTTTACTAAAGTATCCCAGTTGTATCAGGTAAACATCCATTTATTTCCATCTTCAGTAAAATAATCTTGTTACAAGTGGGTCAAATCTTGTTTTCTGTATCTGCTCTAAAAGGCTGTGATTGATACTTTGCAGGGAATGCACTTGGAATGTTTTGGTGAAGGAACAAGGTAAGTTGTACTGTTGTGTGTGTTTATGTGTGTCTGCATGCATTTACAGACAGCTTAACCTGTCTGTCATTCCTCAGGCTCTACACGTGTATGATAACTCTGCAGCTCTCAAAAGAGCTGGATGTGTGTACTGTTAGTACTGCTATTGCCATTCTTTGGAAGGACAGTACCAGCATTAGTTTTGATGGACCTCTCAGTCGAATAGGTGAGTGTTGATCTGTATGTACTGGTATTCCCCAATTACAGCTTATCCAAGTGGTGTAAACAGTAAAAATGCAATTATTTTTTATTCTCTCTACTATACAGCCATATGTCATTTGCCCACTGATTCGGAAACCATTCCTTTGAACTCAACATTCACTTGGATGTCTGTAAATTTCAGTTCCAGCCACATTGATGACATCAAAGACAGTTTGAAATGGTAAATCTTGTATTTAGTCCATATTTTTCACTGTGCATACTCCACATTTGTATCAAATTTCAATTATTCAAATTTCAGTTAATATATTTCCATGTCTCATGGGCTATATTCACACTGAAAATCAAAATTTCTGGATATCAAATTCAAATCGAATTTTATTTTTTACAAAACATTCAAACTATATTCCAAACTGAATGATTAATGATTAAACACCAGTCCAAACAAAAAGCAAATCAGAACTGTTGGCAGTGTGAACATAGCCATTTAATGTGGTTTTAGTGTTAGTCCTAGAACAGCATTCCTGTCAACCAATCAGATATCAGCTTCAGGCTTAGTACTGGATTTGTGGTTTTGAACAACATTCTTATCAACCTATCATTTCCTCATTTTAGCAGTATGTAATGGTTAGGATATTTGTTTGACAAGAATGTTGTTTCAGGACTAACAAAAACCTTTTCCAAACAAACTTTCCAATTTTGCTCTTTGTTTCTCAGTGCACAGGGTCAGACATTTGCTGTTATTTTAAATGAGAGCTGTGAAGTCTCACCTTCTGAGTCCTACCCAACTCAAGCTGTCCCTCCTAGAACAAGCTCTGAGAGCAGTGCTACATTCCCAAACATGACTTCTCCATCAGTAACTACAGATTGGTCACTGACCAACCAAACCCTCACTGCAGTCACACCATCTATCACAAACACTTCTAATACACCACTTAATACAACAGTCCTAATATCCAATACATCCATCAACAGTACAGTCACTCAAACAAACACTGTGTCACATTATACAGCAAGCCTGCCACTCAATTCAACACTCAATATAAGACCAGCGGTCAATATAGCAAGTATACCACATGAAATAACAACCTCAATGGTCAGTACAACACATAAAACAACTGATGTAACACCTCAGCCGGTGAATACAGCAGTTACAACACACAATATAACAACCTCACCTGTCACAACAGGTACATCAAACAATATACCAGCATCATCGGTCAGTACAAGTACACATGATATAAGAACCCCATCAGTCAGCGCAACAGGTACACCATACAATATAACAACCTCACCAGTCAAAATAACAGAAACAACACTCAATATAACAACCTCACCAGTCCATACAACAGGCACATCACAAAATATAACAACCTCAACGGTCAGTACAACACATACAACACTCGATGTAACAACTCAACCGGTCTACACAGCAGATCCAACAGACAATATAACAACCTCAACAGTCAGTACAACACATACAACACTCTATATAACAACTCAACCGGTCTACACAACAGATACAACAGACAATATAACCTCAACGGTCAGTACAACACTCGATATAACAACTCAACCGGTCTACACAGCAGATACAACAGACAATATAACAACCCCACCTGTCAGTACAACACATACAACACTCAATGTAACAGCTCAACCGGTCTACACAGCAGATACAACAGACAATATAACAACCCCACCTGTCAGTACAACACATACAACACTCAATGTAACAGCTCAACCGGTCTACACAGCAGATACAACAGACAATATAACCTCAACGGTCAGTACAACACAAACAACACTCGATGTAACAACTCAACCGGTCTACACAGCAGATGCAACAGACAATATAACAACCCCACCTGTCAGTACAACACATACAACACTCGATGTAACCGCTCAACCGGTCTACACAGCAGATACAACAGACAATATAACGACCTCAACGGTCAGTACAACACATACAACACTCAATGTAACAGCTCAACCGGTCGATACAGCAAATACAACAGACAACATAACAACAACCTCAATGGTCAGTACAACACATACAACACTCGATGTAACAGCTCAACCGGTCTACACAGCAAATACAACAGACAATATAACAACCCCGCCTGTCAGTACAACACATACAACACTCAATGTAACGGCTCAACCGGTCGATACAGCAAATACAACAGACAACATAACAACAACCTCAATGGTCAGAACAACACATACATCACTCGATGTAACAACTCAACCAGTCACACCATCTATCACAAACACTTCTAATACACCACTTAATACAACAGTCCTAATATCCAATACATCCATCAACAGTACAGTCACTCAAACAAACACTGTGTCACATTATACAGCAAGCCTGCCACTCAATTCAACACTCAATATAAGACCAGCGGTCAATATAGCAAGTATACCACATGAAATAACAACCTCAATGGTCAGTACAACACATAAAACAACTGATGTAACACCTCAGCCGGTGAATACAGCAGTTACAACACACAATATAACAACCTCACCTGTCACAACAGGTACATCAAACAATATACCAGCATCATCGGTCAGTACAAGTACACATGATATAAGAACCCCATCAGTCAGCGCAACAGGTACACCATACAATATAACAACCTCACCAGTCAAAATAACAGAAACAACACTCAATATAACAACCTCACCAGTCCATACAACAGGCACATCACAAAATATAACAACCTCAACGGTCAGTACAACACATACAACACTCGATGTAACAACTCAACTGGTCTACACAGCAGATACAACAGACAATATAACAACCTCAACGGTCAGTACAACACATACAACACTCGATGTAACAACTCAACTGGTCTACACAGCAGATACAACAGACAATATAACAACCTCAACGGTCAGTACAACACATACAACACTCGATGTAACAACTCAACTGGTCTACACAGCAGATACAACAGACAATATAACAACCTCAACGGTCAGTACAACACATACAACACTCGATGTAACAACTCAACTGGTCTACACAGCAGATACAACAGACAATATAACAACCTCAACGGTCAGTACAACACATACAACACTCGATGTAACAACTCAACTGGTCTACACAGCAGATACAACAGACAATATAACAACCCCACCTGTCAGTACAACACATACAACACTCGATGTAACAACTCAACTGGTCTACACAGCAGATACAACAGACAATATAACAACCCCACCTGTCAGTACAACACATACAACACTCGATGTAACAACTCAACCGGTCTACACAGCAGATCCAACAGACAATATAACAACCTCAACAGTCAGTACAACACATACAACACTCTATATAACAACTCAACCGGTCTACACAACAGATACAACAGACAATATAACCTCAACGGTCAGTACAACACATACAACTCTCGATGTAACAACTCAACCGGTCTACACAGCAGATACAACAGACAATATAACAACCTCAACGGTCAGTACAACACATACAACACTCGATGTAACAACTCAACCGGTCTACACAGCAGATACAACAGACAATATAACCTCGGTCAGTACAACACATACAACACTCGATGTAACAACTCAACCGGTCTACACAGCAGATACAACAGACAATATAACAACCTCAACGGTCAGTACAACACATACAACACTCGATATAACAGCTCAACTGGTCGATACAGCAAATACAACAGGCAATATAACAACCTCAATGGTCAGTACAACACATACAACACTCGATGTAACAACTCAACCAGTCAATACAGCAAATACACCACACAATATAACAACCCCACCTGTCAGTACAACAGCTATATCAAACAATATAACAACCTCACCAGTCAAAACAACAGAAACAACACTCAATTTAACAACCTTACCTGTCCATACAACAGGCACATCACACAATATAACAACCTCAATGGTCAGTACAACACATACAACACTCAATGTAGCAACTCAACCGATCAATACACCAAGTACACCACACAATATAGCAACCCCACCTGTCAGCACAACAGCTACATCAAACAATATAACAACCCCACTAGTCAGCGCAACAGGTACACCATACAATATAACAACCTCACCAGTCAAAACAACAGAAACAACACTCAGTTTAACAACCTCACTGATCCATACAACAGATAAAACAATCAGTGTAGCAAACACATTGGTCAGTACAACAGATACAACACACAATATAACAACCCCACCAGCCAATACAACAGAAGCCACATTCAACATAACTCCAACGGTCAGTACAAGAAATATTATGTTCAATATAACAACCTCACCGGTCAACACAACAGGTACACCACACAATATAACTACGTCACTGGTCCATACAATAGATCCAACACACAATATAACAACCCCAGTCAAAATAACAGAAACCACATTTGATATAACAAATTCACCGACAAGTACAAGAGATACAACACTCAATGTAACATCCTCACTGGTCCATACAACAGGTATCCAACACAATATAACTATATTACTGGTCAGTGCAACAAATGCAACACCTAATATAACAACCTCACCAGTTAGCACAACAGGTACACACAATATAACAAACTCATTCGTCAGTACAACAGATATAGCACTCAATATAACAACCCCACCTGTCAATACAACAGTTACAGTACGCAATTTAACATATCCAGTCAATACAACAGTCACACCACTCAACCTAACTGTCACAAGACTCAGTTCAACAACTCCTCTAGTCAGTACAACAGCCACATCACTTGACACAACTGCTGCGACAGTCACAACACTTGATAAAAGTACAACAACTCTCAACACATCAATCACTGTTAATACAACAGGTATGCCACTCATTACAACAGCTATACCACCTTCTGACGTGGAAACAGCAACACCACTTAATACATCGGGACAGATAAGTGAAACCATTACTACAACAGTTAGACCAATAAATGCAACAGTCACACCTCGCTTTACTACTGCCATGCCACTAAACACAACTGCACTACATCACTCAACAGTCATGCCATTCAATACAACAGTGACACTTCTCAACTCAACTTTCACATCCAAAACTGTGGAAAATGTGACACAATCTAACACAAGTAGTTCTCAAATCTCTGGTGTAGAGTTCACCACCACCACAACCTTTCCGCCAAATACAACACTGTTTAACTTGACAATACCATCACAAAGCACATTACACCTAAATGCAACAACACCCCCATTAAACACTACACAACACAACACCACATTCACAACACATTTGAACACTACTGGGCAAGACAACACAACAGTATTTAACACTACATTATTCACTCACAATGTAACAACTTTCATAGAAAATAGTACAGATTTAGCAATATTTAATGTGACAGAGTTTAACGGAACACTTAAAATGACTCAGAACCACAAAAACACAACATATTTAAATGTGAGCTCTTCTGTCTTAAATGCCACAACACAATACCGACATATTACACAATATAACACAACCACTCTAGATGCAACACCCTCAAATAATACAATCCTAGCCCACTCTACAGAATTACCAAGTAATGTAAATGAATCAAACACAACTCATCCTCTTGACAGTACAACTGAATTCAATACAACAGCCATTCCTTATTACTCAACACAACTTCTGAATAATTCTACACTGGAGACCAATGATGCTGAAACTAATACCACTACAGATACACCAGAATTCAATACAACAATGTATTCATTTACCTTCACGACTTTTAATACAACTGATGTAACTTATTCCAACATAACAGACCCCCTGTTCAATACTACACAATCAAATACAACAGTCTTTACAATGAACACAGCCTTGTTTAACACAACAGATGTGCCATTGAATGTAACCAATTTCAATGGGACTGATGTCAATCATAGCATCAACAACACAGAGACCTCCAATAGCACATCAGAATTTAACACAACAGTAAGCCCTGCAGTTAATACAACACAGTTTGATATCACAAACACAACACCGATACATACAACAACCTTTCCAACAACAGAAAATATTACCAGTGGGCCAACCAACTCCACTTCCGAGCCTGTCAAAACAGTTAGTCTCCTTAACACAACACAGTCAAATGGTACAATAGAAAATACCTTTACTGAAAATATAATTACTAACACAACTACAACAACAAATCCAATTAGCATTCCGAACAACATACCAACAAATACTACCATTATTAGCATTATCACAAATAGCAGTACAGATTCCACAACTGCTCTATCAGTGACGCATTCAAGCTCTCAGAACAGCTCCACTTCCACAACAGAAACTCCAATTATTGCTCCAACTCCAACGACTAGTAAAAGCAACGCAACAACAGTCACTACAAGGCCTGCCGTTCCAGCTGTGCCAACAACACCTGCAACCACTTCAGGTTTGACTATATTTCGACTCAACATTCCAAAACTGACTCTAGTTTCTTGACTCAAAATTCCAAATATAAATGATTTTCTAGGTACATGCATCCACAACAGTAAAAATTACTAAAACTTTGTACACTTAAAATGGATAGTTCACTCAGAAATAATCATTTATGTGACCAAGTTGTTCCAACCCTTTTCCTTACTCAAAATTCCAAATATAAATGCTTTTCTAGGTTCAGGCATCCACATCAGAAAAAAGTACTGAAACACTTAAGTCAAACTTAAAATAAATAGTTTACTCAAAAATAATAATTTACTTGACCACATGTTCCAAACCTTTTCCTTCAGTGGAAAACTGAAAATGATACTTTGAACAATGTCTCAATGTTTTTTCTTTGATCATATCATGAAAATCTATGGGGTCCGGACATCATTGGATCCCATTGACTTACATTAAATAATCTGTTTGCAAATATAGAAAAATATCAAAGTAGTATTTATTTTAACTATAACAAATGTTCTGAGAACAGCTTTAGCAAGCTTTAGTTTGCAGATGCCGCTTGTTAATTTGTATCTAATGCAATGAAATTCACTATCAAAATAAGTTTTGGTGCCACTGTATATTTACATGCCATATCTACAACAACAGCTCATTTATTTTTGTTCATTTTTCAGAGGCAACAACTAAAAACCCAAATGCAGTGGCTAGCAATCTTCTGAATCAAACACAGAATGTGGCATCTTTAAACTCAACTCAGGTCAATCAGCTGGTCAGCCAGCTAGAGAATCTTATCTCCACACCCAACATTAGTCTGGATCTAGGCCGAACAGTGCTGTCCGTCATCAACAACTTTCTTAACAGCTCTACAGATACTCTGGCTGCCTCCTCTAACCGGTGAGATATATGTGCAACACAAGCATTCAATGTCTGAAACCTGAAAATTTTATGCAAATAATGTATTGTGCTTTGTAGATTAATCAAAGCTGTGGATAATTTGGGTCTGAAACTTGTGATTCGCGACCAGACTGAAAACATCGCATTTGATTCACTCGCTTTGACGGTGACCAAAGTTGATGGAAGCAACTTTGGGACAACATCAATCTCAATTGCAGATCCCTTAAACCCACAGGTTATAACAACTGAAGTCCAAAGCAATCCGTTAACATTTAGGATGTTTTTGGAAGTCACACTCAAAATTTGGTGTTTATATTTCTGGTTATACAGGTCACAAAAGGACTTCAGAGACAAGTCAGGGCAGTGGAAAGTTCCTCCCCTCTGGCCAAAATAACACTACCTGCGTCCCTGACAGAGAACCTCTCTCCAGAAGAAAAGAAGATAGCTTCTAGAGTCCAGTTCACTTTCTTTCAGAAAAGCACATTTTTTCAGGTAAAACTGGGTTGATTGGAGTTTTACATTTAAGGTGGCAGCACTGAACAATGTTTGTACATAACATTTTCAGAAAACCAATTGCCCTCAGATTAAATGCAATAGTTTACAGAAAAAAAAATCTGTCAATAATTATTCACCTTCATGTCATTCTGTCTTTTCCCATTACCATGTATTAAAGCTTCAAAGGATGCAAAAGCACCATAACAGACACCCCACACTGACCGGATAACATTTTCTGAAATAAAGCTTACAGATATGAATCTGCCTCATCAGTTGATTCTTTGATTTTGCATCTATCTACAGGATAAAAACCTGAGTCAACATATGCTGAACAGCCACATTCTGGGCTCTAGTGTGGCTAACCTGTCAATCAAAAAGCTGAGGGAGAATGTTGAGTTTACTCTGAGGAATAAGCAGCCTCCGGTGTGTGTGCTAACATGTTTACTGTACATCATATCTCACTGCCAGCTGAAAACTGTCTGATCTATCTCTTCCTTAACTCCTTTCCCACAGGGGAACTATGTAGCTTCCTGTGTATTCTGGGACTTTCACCAAAACGGTGAGATTACACACCTCCAGGAAACTGTTATTAGGCCTAATGAAATGTGTGATCTGTCTAATGTCTTAATTAATGTCTTTTAATTCCTATGTGTTTTGGATTTTCTAGGAGGTTTAGGAGGCTGGAATCACAATGGCTGCTATGTCAAGAACAGCTCCGAGAATGAAACCATCTGCAGCTGCAATCACCTGACAAGCTTTGCTGTACTACTGGTAAGTATGCCAGTGTGTGGGATTTTCTGTAGAAATGTCCACATCTTTTATCTAATTAGCATTTCACATCATGTCTAATGAACATTTATTAAGTCAGAAAGATGCTTGATATCTAAATACACGGAGCACAAAGAGTGATGAGCACAGGCCTCAACATTGGATTTTTATTTGGCCTGCCAACATTTTCACTTAAATTTTTCAGCAACATTTAAAAATCATTTTTACATTTACATAAATTTTTTAGCTTTACTAATTTTTTTTTAAACATTTTTATAACTGTCAGGAATACACATACATAAACTGTATATACTATAAATCAGTGAGATTTAAAAGAAGTCTCTTATGCTCACCCAGGCTGCATTTATTTGATCAAAGCAGCAGGAAAACCAGTAATATTATGAAATATTATTACTAATTAAATAACTCTTTTCTATTTTAATATAGGCAATTTATTCATGTGATGACAAAGCTGAATTTTCAGTCTTCAGAGTTATTTAATCCTTCAGAAATCATTATAATATGCTGATTTGGTGCTCAAGACACATTTCGTATTGTTATCGATGTTGAAAACAATTGTGCTGCTTAAGGATTGTTTGAATAGAAGGTTAAAAAGAACAGAATTTATTTGAAACATAAAAAATTTACAATATTACAGTCACTTTTTATTTATTCTTGCTGAATAAAAGTTTTAATTTCTTTCAAAAATTCTTACTGACCCTAAAATAACAATTTGGGGGGGGGGGATTAAATAAATAAATAAACAAACAAACAGGTAGTGTACCATATACTTTAAACTGGCCATCCTTATTTTTAAGCCCTGGATTAGCTATACATTACACATCTCTGGGATTGTTGTACAGTACAAAGCCTTCATTAATCTTTTGCAACTTGTTTTGTCTTTACAGGACATTAGCCAGCAAATATTACCTGATTTACAGGACAAAATCCTTACCTTCATCACTTACATCGGATGTGGGGTGTCCGCCATCTTTCTCTCGGTTACTCTGCTCACCTACCTCGCATTTGAGTGAGTACCATCCTCCTCAGTGTTTATAAGCCCTAAAATGAGATTAATCAAAAACCTCTGTGATGTATCTTATAAAATGCGACAAAATTATTCTCAACTGTAAACAAAAATTAACTTCCATCTGTAATTCTCAAAAAACATTTATTTACCATTTCTTCTGTTTCATTTCAGCAAAATCCGACGTGACATCCCTTCAAAGATCTTGATCCATTTGTGTTTCAGCCTGCTCTTGCTGAACCTGGTGTTCTTGTTGGACTCGTGGCTGGCGTTGTACCGAGATGCTGAAGGCCTGTGCATTTTCACAGCCTTCTTCCTGCACTACTTCCTGTTGGTCTCCTTCACCTGGATGGGGCTGGAGGCTCTGCATATGTACCTGGCCATCGTCAAAGTCTTCAACAACTTCATGTCCAGATACATGCTGAAATTTTCCCTGGTAGGCTGGGGTGAGTTCAGCTGCTAAATTAGCCATGTGGTTTGTGGCTGTAGATGATTCCTGATTTAATTTCATGATGTGTTCTTGCAGGAGTCCCTTTGGTTGTTGTCATTATTGTGATTGCGGTAAACAAAGAGAACTATGGCCTCATAAGCTATGGGAGATTTTCTGATGGAACTAAAGATTTGTAAGTATTCAGCTCATCATTTAAAGGTATCAGTCTTCATTATGTCATCGCTCCTAATGTTTCTATATTTCTCTCTTTTAGTTGTTGGCTGAACAATAGCATAGCATTCTACGTGGCTGTTGTGGCATACTTCTGCATCATATTTGTGTTGAACCTGGCCATGTTTGTGGTGGTGATGATCCATCTGAGACGAATCAAGCGCAGAAACCCTCACAATAATCAGTATCGCAGCAGCTTGCATGACCTACGTAGCGTTGCGGGACTCACTTTCCTGCTCGGGCTTACATGGGGCTTCGCCTTCTTCGCATGGGGACCTGTCCATTTCGCCTTCACGTACATGTTTACCATTTTAAATTCCCTACAGGGTGAGAAACAATGGTATTGTTTTTTTCTTTGATTCAAAAAGTCTACATAATAGAGTTGGAAGTATAGTTTTTTTAGTGTAATGCAAGTACCTTGGTCAATTGATGGAAAAAGGGTCTTTTTTTTAATTGTTCTCTTTCTCTTTTAGGATTTTTAATTTTTATTTTCCACTGCGCTCTGAAGGAAAATGTCCGTAAACAGTGGAGAATGTACCTCTGCTGTGGCAGTTTACGATTGGCTGAAAATTCAGGTATCGCCACATTACTGACCAAACTAAAAACTAGCTGCAGATTACCTTTAATAGATGTTTTATGGGTGTCTCCTTTCAACATCTCAAATGTTTTTTTTTTTCTGCAGAGTGGAGTCGGACAGCCACACAGAGCAACCACACTAAAAAGACTTCGATTGTGACGGCAGATTCAGGGATCCACAGTGCACCTCGAAGCTCAGTGAGCAGCGATGACTCGGTGCCGTCCCAAGGCATCGGTCTGTTCTGGCAAGAAATGTGCAAAGGCATTTTATACAAGTCAAGACTGTTTTTAACTCTTTAATTTCACATTACAGGCTCACCAATGGATGACAGTCTGATCATATCAGGGGAAATGAATGACGACGTGGTCCTCAACGAGATGAACAGTCAAATCCGTCCACGATTCAGATCTGAATAGCTTTTAGAAGAGGATTATAAACGCAGACAGGACTCTACGTGAAGAAACAGACCACTAAATATTCTGTTTCTGTCATGCCTGAAAAAAAATGTATTGCCAAGATGAGAATCTAGTGACTTAGCTCGAAAACAAATGTCTTTTGTCATCAGTTTGTCTGAATGAATGTTACATGCAGTAAGGCTTCAAGCTTTATAGCCAGACATTTTGTTATTGGTTATTGAATCAGGCTGCTCACAGCTGAGTAATGAATAGCAAGAGCATGTACCTATGGGAGTCAATGCGTAAAAGTATCTCCATGTACTGAGAAATGAGGAAATGGTATATTATGCTTTTGCAGCGTCAAGGGTTTTAAACTCCTATATATTTTCAGCAAACAGTATTAAACAACTCTTCTGCAAATAAATAATCAAATAAAGCTAAGATGATGCAAGTGCATCAAATAGTACTTTAAAAAATGTTTTATAATAGATGTAGGACTACATTTAAAATGAAGGAAAAAAAGAGGGGGATTTCTCTTTTTATCTTAAATTCTGTCTTAAAAACCATGTAAATCTGTGTTGTAGAAAGACTGAGATATATCCATTGTCCATATAGTTTATTAGTTTTTCCACATTTTGTAGTCATTCTCAGTTTTGTAATTCTCATATAAGGAGGAAATATGAAGTTAATATGCTAATGTATCACAAATGTGTTACATGTAATCAAATGTGCTTTCTGTGTACTTTAAAACAGCATTTGTTTGAAATTATTTTTGAGTAGTATAAGGGTTCTGTTTAGGCAAAATATACTATAATAGTAAAATTGTTTATCATGTTTTGATATATATATATATATTATTTAAACATTTTGTAGTTTTATGAATTTATTACAATTTCACATTTGTACATTTTAGGTAGAGTAAGGAATCTGAGATTCTAACAATAAATTATTTATATATTTTTGTCTGTGATACAGTTGTGTGTGTGTGTGTGTGAGAGAGAGTTTGAATTGTATCACTGGCATGTGATCACATTCAAGCAGTCAAAGTGTATGAGAGTCTTATAAACTCCGTGCCGGTTTTCTGGATAACATTCTCTCGCTTTAGGAGTAGATGCTCCAGTAGATGATGTTGAAGAGAAAGTATGCCAAAGGAAAGAATATTCTGGAATAGGAGTCGATCTTGTAACTGTTGCTCATGATATGGTTGACACTTTGGCGGATAGAACGCCGCCGACGGAGGCGCGTGCCCAGGACGGGAGGGAGGTCGGGTGTTGTGGAGTTCTGGGAGGACATGCATGTGTCTGTGTTTAGGTCAGAGAGTGGAAATGCGCTGAGCTCTATGTCCTCGTCATGAAAGCAGCCGTCAAACGCCATGGCTTGAGATGCATCGTATCCCGAGAGCTGTAGGAGACAAAAAACAATTCACTTTTTCAGGAATTTATGTGGTACGATTTTTTTAAAATACAATATATTGGACGTTCAAGAAATAGTGCACCAAAAAATTTAAATTCTCTTGCTCCAAAATAAAAAATTATGTCTATGGCAGAGGTCTGATGATCAAGGACCAAAGACATTTTGATGTTATTCAGGTTCACAAGGGCCATATTTGAGATGTATTAATTATTTAAATCAAGATTACCCATGAATAATCACTCAAATTTTGCTCCGTTCACAGACAGCTATCATAAAGGTTAGGAATTATATTGCACATGATTAATATGGATTTTTTTTTATTATTTTTTTTGTCCTTTTGGAACTTGACAGTGTGGATAAAAATATATCTGATTTATAAAAAATATTATTTCATATTTATTTATTTATTATGCTGTCTTAAGTCCATTTTCCATTTATTATTTTTATTTTGCATTTATTGAGAGATTACCATATTTGATCAACAGGGGGAGACATTTTGATATTTTGCTGTTTTTTCTTGGTATGTCGACAGAATGCATCATTACACCGAAAATACTGAACATTTTTATGAAGTTTAGAGTGAATGAATTGAAAAATGTTGGATGTTTAAGGGAACTTTGACCTTTAATTGCTCGAGTTTCTTCATTTCCTCCTTAGTAGTGAAGTAGTTGACAGCTGCGTACTCGATGACGGACAGAAACACAAACAGGAAGCTAATCCACAAATAGATGTCCACCGCTTTCACATATGATACCTGAGGCATGGACGCTGACACTCCCGTAATTATGGTGGACATAGTCAACACTGTAGTGATGCCTGGATTGAACACATGCAGAGAGACACACATCTGATTTTACTGTACTATGATGCAGTCATATTTATCATTGTTCACATAATTGAAATGCAGTTCAGAGGTTGAAATCCAGTCATTTCAATAAGAATCCACACAACTGGGAATTTTTTGAAATGGCAAAAGATTTCCTTACACAGATTTCTCAACAGGTTCTTTTGGCCACGTTGACCAACAGAAAGCTGTTTGGTTTGAAAGTGACTTCTGAGTGAGCTATGCTTAAAGCATCATTACACAATTGGCACTAGACAATTGACCTTTTCAGCCCAAGAAATTTTGCAAATGTGACCGCACATTTAGACTGATTTACAAAGTTACAAAATGAGGTGCTGTCTAGATCAACATACTTGTTGACTCTTCCCAACCAATCAGATGTTAGGGCCAGCGACCGTGAAAGAAAAAGTGTGAAACTTCTGTGACACTATCACTAACAATCACCGCCAATCAGAACACATTTTGTAGGATATTGGACCCATGAGATTTCATAATGGGCGGAGCTACCCAGTGTGAAGGCTATGTTCACACGGCAGCAGATTACACATGTCAGTACTGTTTTCATGTGAAAAACACGGTTGCACTCACACATAGTTTGGTTATAAACGAGAGTGACAAATGCATTTACTGTTGATCCAGGACCATGTCCTACTTGGCTAAATCACGTTTGTGCAGGTTTGTTTCTTATCGTCTTGGGAAAAACATTTCGACTTTGGTAAGCAACTAAGAGACAACTAAGCAACCTAAACCTTCACCAGACCACACTGGGCTGCAGTCCAACAACATTAAAAATAGAGGTTCCAAAAGGGCGTTTTCACAGTGATCCCATAGAAGAACCATTTCTGAGCAGTTTTTGAACTAACATTTCCACCGTTGCATGTGTTTGGATATGTGTTACGCACCAAGCGACACACGGGCCGGTACCGCCCGCCTGTCGATCCAAAAAGACACCCAGGACAGCACAACCATCAGCATTGTAGGAAAATATGTTTGCAGCATAAAGAAGAATATATGTCTCCTGAGGATGAAGTTGATGTAGAGCCTGTTGTACCAGCCTGACAGAAACACATGTAAAGTCAGGAATTAATGACCTACTGGTATATTACCAAACAGGACAAAGAGATACGATTTGTCATAGTATAAATACGCAGAAGGAGAGAGAGGAAAGCGTGCCATACCCGTGCTGCTGTACAGCGCCAGACCGTGTGAGGGGTGAAACTCTTCAATGAAGAACTGAGAGAGGGCAATCTCATCTGTCCTCAAAGAGTCATTACCATTTTTCCAGTACAACATGAGGTCGTTCTCAGCATATGCATCTGAATGGGATACAGGAGAGAAGCCAAAAGATGAAGAAAAGAGGCAAAAGATTGTGCGCCCTGTTCAATTCATGTTCATATACATGGATAATTTGAAGTGTGCTATTATTGCACCATTTCATTAATGTTCTGGATTCAAACAGCATTTGTGGCATAATGTTGGTTCCTGAAGAAAGTAATTTCAAATCGGTCCTCATCTGATTCAAAATAGGCAGTAGCGAGGCACATACAATAAAATTAAATGGGTCCATGAACTCAATGGGTTTAAAAGTAGCCTGCATAAATATAGCTATTTTTAGATGTGATTTTGAAACACTAGCATTTGCTCTAGTAAGTAACAGTGATGTTGTCATTAACTAAAACTAAAACTATTAAAAAAAGATTTTAAAAAAGGCAAAAGCACAAACCTAAACTAAAATAAATAAATAAATGAAAACCGAAAATTTTAAATAAAAGCCAATTCAATATATTTATAAATATAATAATACATAAATAATACTAAAATAACACTAAGTAACAGACACTTTTAATTATTTAATTGACTGCATTGATTGCATTTTTCTTGATAAATATCCTGTTTCACTCAGTTTTATGTGACATTATGTGAAGAAATAGGTTGCACTAGCAATTCACAATGATTTTACTGCTATTATGTGTATCATATTGTAAATTTGTAAAGTTATAAATCATCATTTTTGGAATGGAACTACCTTTTTTCTAGTTATTTGATACTAATATAATTAAAAGTGAAAAGTTGCTAGGTTTACAGGCTTCACGTGACATTTAAAAGACCTTGAACAGAAAATGTCAGGAAGCACTTGTCTCATGCCAGCATATATAATGTTTAAGTCGTGCTGCTATACTTTCACAATAGTACATATTCTAACATTTATTTCATTACTCCATATACTTTCATTGTAAGCACCTTTCCATTACCATTACTTTACTGTCTAAATGGTGTCTAAAAAGCTGCGAGTTTGAATCCACAATTGCCATGTTTTCCCAACCTGTAAAATATCAGCTAAAAAAAAGAAACAATGTAGGTGGGACTCAATAAAAATCACACAAGAACTGAAGATGTTTCTAGGTGGACACGCACAGCTCTCCAATTCCAGGGAACAGTTCTGAGTGTCCAGTGGAAATCTACTGAAGTCCATTGAGCACAGAGAAGTAACTGTAATCCTACAATAAAGAGAATAGTCCATTAATAAAAATTACATATGAAGTAATGAATCATCAGAGGTTGCAGGCATCTACCTGACGCTGTAAAGGATGTTGCCGTCCGGGTAAACCCTCAGCATTATGTTCTCCATGGTGGTATCATGGATGAAGGAGCGCTTGGAATGAACAAAAAAGACATCAGGTTTCCAGATCTTCTTTATCAGACGGCCGTCGAATGTGCGGCTCAGATTGTTACTGGAGGGAAAAGCCAACCGTTCATCCTTCCAATAATG